GGTAGAATATCCTCCCAAGCCAAGTTCTAGCAGAAATCTGATACTTCACTATTAAAACTAAGTGGGGGACAACCCTGGTGGTCCAGTGATTAAGACTGCGTGCTTCCAATGCAGGGGGCACAGGTTCAATTCCTAACCCTAACTAAGATCCTTATACCACGGCCAAGAAAGAAAACCCAAACCAAAAAATCAAACAAAAAAACCTTAAATTAGTGGGATTCTGCTCCTATCCCTAAGTTGCCCCAACATTCAAGGAGAGAAAAATGTCAACGGAGAAAATTAATTCAATTTTTTTTGTTCTGTACTTTTTCTTAGCGTCACCATCTGCCAACGTTTATCAGCTCTTAAGCATTATCAGGTGATAAAATACACATCTTGATGAGCAATTCGTTACATGTGTTACCTCTCACAAAACCAAAACGTCTGTATCATCATTTCTAAGTTACAGACTAAGGTTTAAAGAGGTACTATAACCCAGCAAGATCACAAAGTAAACAGCAGGGTCTAGCTTTGAAAAGCCCTCCAATTCCAGTCTGGCCTCTTAACCACCGAACTACACTCTCAAAGAACAATACCCTAAACTATTAATAACAATAACCGTTAGGTTTTCTGTTTGTTGAATGTGTGTTCCTAACTCATTTTTGTAAGATAAACATCTTCTCTATTTTTAACTAGCAAAATTATTCTTGGTTTTTATTACGATGGCAACTCCATGATCCCTATGAGCGCAACCATCCAAATGCTTGATCGAAATCTCTAGGAGCTCTCCAGTTAGTCTTCCGACACTCTTTATTACACGAGGGAAAGATGCTTACGGTCAGCTCAAAATCTAACTCAACAATCTACGTACATCTCTTTCTTAAGAGACCTCTTGGGTGTGGATAAGACACCGATTTCTTTCCCTATCGCTTGCAAGAAGGCAAGACGACGGATGACGGGTACAGGAGAACGCTCAGATCTCTCATCTTTTGAGAGTCCTTTCTAAGTGCAATTTGAGGGTCAAAACGAGACACTGGGTCCCCAAGAAGCGGAGGCTCAGACAGGTGTAATTCCCTGCTCGGCGATGCTAAGAGCCAAATTTTGAAGAGTTCCTAGGGACCGGGGTCCACCAGGCCTCCCGGTGGCCAACGACTGAGAAGGTGGGACCGGGCAAGCAGGGGTTTTCCCAAAGTTGCCCGGCCGCACTCCCGCCGTGCCACCCCCTTCTCGCCGCGGCTCCCCGAACGCTCCCGGAGGAAGGGCTTCCCGTCCCTTCTCTCGAGAACCGAAGACCAAGGAAGCCAAACCTCGGCCCACCTGAGCGCGGCCTCGGCGGCCGAGCTCGGGGCACTCACCATCGTTCTCGTCGCTGTGCCGCCGCCGCGACATGCCGCACGCTGGTGCTCCGCGGAGCTGAGACACCGCTCACGAAGCGCCGCAGGAACCGTCAGGCCGCCGGCCGGCGGGAGGACAGCGGCGAGGCGCGCGGAGTGGCCGGCGCGCAGGCGCTCTCGGTCTCGGCGGCTCCCGGAAGCACACGGCAGGATGGCTGGATGGCTCCGCGAGCTCGGATCCAGGAACGCCGGCTTCTGGAAGCTCACCAGGCCGGTGGCTCCTGCCCTGCACGTAGCGACCCTCTCGGGTTACCTCCGCCTCTCGGCTGCTTCCTTCGCCCGCCTTCGCTGAAAGCCCTTCCGGGGCCACGCGGAGAGCACCGCCTCTTCCGCCAGGCCGAGCCCGCAGGCCGCGAGCCACGCCCGGAGGCGGGTCGTCTGGGGGACCCTCTCGTCTTCGCCTCCAGTTCGGCACCTCTCTCGGGGCCTCCTGGGGGTTTTCCCGGCGGCCCTTTCGCCAACTACCTGACTTCCGGAGCGAGGTGCGGGACGGCGTTCCTTCCTAAACACAGGCGGGGCTGGGAGCGCGAGGGCTGCGAGCGGCGGCAGTCGCTGGGCGGAGACCGCTCGGTGAAGAAAGATCTGAGAAAGGGTCGGGACGGGCGGGTGCGTGCTCATCTTTCTCCCACTTCCCGGCCTCTGCCGGCTGGGGAAAGCTGGGCGGAGAGATTAGGCCAAGCCCGGTGCGCGGGGAGAGGCCGGGGTGGGAGGCGGCTCCCACGACCCGGGGACAGCAGGACCCTCCTACTGAGCCAGCTTCTCCGGGGTTACTCTCTGGCCGCCATCTGATCTCTCGCTCCTCTGACTTGTGGTTTAGGAAGGAACGAGTGATTGCTTCAGTAACCTTTTCAGTAGTTATCGGGTGCCTCCATACGTGTATTTGAACATCCCTCGCTCTGACATCTGGTGAGCGCTGCAGCTGCTCACGGCCGTGTCCTCAGCCATATGAAACTTTCACAGGTCTGCAGTGGAACTTTTGTTTCCCTCTCCTGGCCTAATCTGTTCTTCCTTCAGTCTTACCCATTTCAGTAAACGGCACCATCCATTCTACTGCTTAATCCAAAAACGTGGAGTCATCCTGAAGTTCTTTTCCTTCAATTCCTGAAGAACATTCTACCGGTAAACGCTGCCGGCTCTGCCTTCAGAGGAGATCGGAGTCAGATCACGGTACTCCTGTTTCCAGCCTTCCGGTGACTTTCTATTGTAAACGCCATAGCCTCTTCTACAGGGTTTTACTCTCATCACTGCATTCCAGCCACTGACTTCTGCACCTGCAGTAAGTCAAGCTGTTGACCGCTTGAGGGATTTATACTGTCTCCTTTGCCTGAAGATCTCTGCTCCTAAATCTGCATGGGTGGCCCCTTGTCTCAGTTCAAACATCGGGTCCTTGGTGAGGTCTTCCCTGGCCACCCAATCACTCTTCCTTCATTCGACAAATATATTGTATGTCATGTGCCAGGCAGTGTTCTGGATGCAGAGGTGAACAAAAGAAAACTCCTGCTTTCTTAGTGCTGACAACTCATTCAGGAACCAGCAAACAATGCAATCAGGTAGTGAGTAAAAGTGGGAGAAGATGAGATTAGGGAGGTGGTGGATGGGGCTTTGTAAGGACCTTGGACTTTATCCTGGTACATTTATAAGCTTTTGGAGGGTGATCTGACTTATTTTTTAATAGTTACCTCTGAGACTTCCCTGGTGATCCAGTGGTTAAGAATCCACCTGCCATTGAGGGGACACGGGTTCCATCCCTGGTCTGGGAAGATCTCATATGCCGTGTGGGGCAGCTAAATCCTGCCTAAGTTTACTGAGCTCTGAGATCTAGAGCCCGGCAAGCCACAACTACTGAAGCCTGGGGTCTTCGAGCCTATGCTCCACAACAAGAGAGGCCACCACAAGGAGAAGCCCCTGCACCACAGCTAGAGAAAGTTTGTGTGTGGCAACGAAGACCTAGCACCTAAAAGTAAAGTAAATACATAAAAATTTTTAAAAAGTTACCTCTGTGGCTTCTACAGGAACAGGGCAGCTGGGCAACTGAAGTAATTCACTCAAATGATGGCTTGAAGGAGGCTGGCAGTGAAGGCGGTGCACTGTGGTCTGATGTGACTGTATTTCAAAAGCAGAGTTGAAGGCAGTGCACTGTGGTCTGATGTCACTGTATTTCAAAAGCTGAGTTGATAAGCTTTTCAGTCACCTGAAACAATAAGGAAATGAGTCCCCAAGTTTTTGTCTGAGTAACAGGAAGAATAGAATTGTTGTTTACTGAGGTAAGGAAGACTGAGGAAGAGCAAGAATTTGGTTTTAACAGTTGCATTTGAACAGCTTCCTAGCCCTCCCCACAGTCCTGCAGGGTAGATACTGTCATCCCCAATTTATGCTTTTGGGAATTAGAACTCAGAGAAGGTAAATATCCTGCCCAGGTTCACTTACTTGCACCCAGCTGCACCACAAGCCAAAGCCCATCCTTTCCCTAGTCTTTCTTGTTACTCTTCACATTTATCACTTGTAACATTTGCTTTGCAAATGAATGCATCCTGTTGGTGTGCTGTGTTCCTTTTGATAAGACTTGGCCATTGTAGCAGTTTGTGTATTTCTTTTGGCTCATTTCTTTCAGCTTCCCTGGTAGCCCAGCTGGTAAAGAATCTGCCTGCAATGCAGGAGACCTGGGTTCCATCCCTAGGTTGGGAAGATCCCCTGAAGAAGGGAACGGCTACCCACTCCAGTATTCTGGCCTGGAGAATTACATGGACTGTATAGTCCATGGGGTTGCAGAGAGTCAGACACAACTGAGCGATACAAAGTATAAGTTTGACTCATAAAATGAGGCTCTCTAGATAGTTATTTCTTCTAAGGAAGGGAATTTGACCAGCTCAAAAACTAGGGGACAAAAGAGAAAAGTATTTATAATTAAAGATACTGCTGCTGCTAAGACGGTTCAGTCGTGTCCGACTCTGTGCGACCCCATAGACAGCAGCCCACCAGGCTCCCCTGTCCCTGGGATACTCCAGGCAAGAACACTGGAGTGGGTTGCCATTTCCTTCTCCAATGCATGAAAGTGAAAAGTGAAAGTGAAGTCGCTCAGTCGTGTCCCAACTCTAATGATCCCATGGACTGTAGCCTACCAGGCTCCTCTGTCCATGGGGTTTTCCAGGCAAGAGTACTGGAGTGGGTTGCCATTGCCTTCTCTGAATTAAAGGTACTAACACACAGCTTGATTGATTTTGGTTGCACCTGGTACTTTTTTTTTTTTTGGTATGTTTTCCCCTAAATGTTGGCATGGCTGCCCTTTCTACCATCTGACTTTTTTTTTTAAAAAGCAGTTTAGTTCATTTGTTTACCTCCTCTCTCTCCCCACTGGAAAGTAAGCTCTAAGAAAGAAGAGACTTCCTCTGTTTCTTTCACTACTACATCTCCAGGACTTAGAACAGTGCAGGGCATAGAGTTGGTGCTAAATAAATATTTCTTGGATGAAAGTGAATGAATGGATAGCTTGGGCTACTGGGCAATGCTCATCTGCATGACTGATTTACTTCAAGAAGTAATCAAAGACTTGGACGTTGTTGTTTTTCCCTTGCTTACTTCCTAGGTGATACCAGAAAGGAACCTACCCTACGGCTGGAGCCAAACCAGATGCCTTCTTCCACTTCACCAGACCAAGGAGATGATGACCCGGAGGCCTGTGTTTTAAGGTTTTCAGACTTGGATTTGAAAGACACAAGTCTTATCAATCCCAGTAGCAGTCTCAAAGCAGAGTTAGATGTCAGTACAAAGAAGAAATACTCATTTGCAAAGAAAAAGGTAAAATTGCTGTTGATGTTTCAGGATCATGTAGGTACAGTTAATGTAGATATATTTAGAAGTAACTCATCAAGGTTGTCCTCCAGGGAGTGGAGCACTGGTGAGACACCAGGCTGCTGCCACGTTCACCTTCAATCCCTTTTCCCACCTGGGGTTATGGGAAGAATCCCAGTATCCTTAGTCATAGGAGAACAGACAGGTGTTAGGGCAGCTGCTGTCTGAGACTCCTGCTCTGGTCCAGCTGGCAGGGCTCGGTTGGTTAGGAGAAGGAACAGAGTGGCTTGGAATGCTGCAAATTTACCAAGAATTGGGTTACAGTGTGGTAGTATGGATGCTGTTCTTCTGGGCCATTTATGCTTTTTTCAGGGATCATTGACTAAACCTTTCTTCTCCTGCTGAAGCTCAAAGGGAAATGACTTGACTGAAGACATAGAGTTGAGACTTAATTCTTACCTCCAGGCTTTTGTTTCTCTTGCAAAATCATCTTATTTTGGCTCCACGTCCATGAAGAATAGATGTCTCTTCTCATAAGTTCTATACGCCACCCTTCTGCCTGCATCCCACACAGATTTCCTTGAAAATGAAACCCAAAGGATACAGACGTTTTGTTGTTGTTTTGCAATAATTTCAAACGTACAGAAAGGCTGCCAGAATTCTCCGGAGGCCCCCTTTGCCCAGCGGCTCCATCCGTGTTTCATCGGTTGTTTCAAAGGGCTTTTACAGATCCACTCGAAGGCCACATGTTTAGTTGTTATGTCTCAAAAGTCTTCAGTCTGGACCACTTTCTCATTTTTTTCCCTTGAAATCATGACCGTGACTTTTTAGAAGGTGACAGTTGAGTTACGTGTAGGATGTCTCTCTTGACTCTTCACTCATGTTTCCTTGTGATTAGATTCAAGTTATGGTTTTTGTTCACCAGACTGCCCCGTGAGAGACACTGTTCATCCGGCTGCATTCTATCAGGCGGTCATGTGCCAATCTGCCCTGTCACTGGCGATGTTAACTTTGGGTACCCCATTAAGGAAGTGCCTTGTCAGGTTTCTTTGCTTTAAAATTGTTCTTTTTTCCCCTTTAGTTATTCAGTATTTCAGGGAAAATAGTTTGAGACTATGTAAATAGTCTATTTCACAATGAACTTTCATCTACTAGTTTTAGATCCATTGGTGTTTCTTTGCTTCAGTTGATTATTACTGTGATGATTTCTAAATGGTGACTTTCTAATTGCTTCATTCCTTCTGTATTTCTTACTTGGCAGTCTTCTGTAAGGAAGAGCTTTCTTTGCCCCCAATTTATTTGTATCAGTGTGTATTCAAGAATGCCATTTTATTTAGTGGGCGATAATAAAAACAGGGTATTTATTTTGCTTTTTATTTGGGTCAAAATTGAAAATACTGACTACAAAAAATTTAATACTGATAAAATGGTGCGGATAAAATGGAATCCTCATGCATTGCTGCTGAATGTATAAATTGGTAATGATTTTTCAGGTAGTCACTACTTAATCAGAGTTTAAAATTTATGCTTCTTCAACTCCAAAATTTTCTTCTAAATATTTATTCTAAGTAGCTGGTTAAAGAAGTATAGAAAGATGTATGCTGACATGCTCATTCACCGTTGCTTATAATTGCAAATATAGGAAACCAAAAAAGCTCATTCACTTAGAATTGGTTAAAAGAATTATGGTACATCTATCATTTTCTCTTCCATTTAATTTTTTTTAACAATTCGCCTAAATCCTCTTTATAATAACAATAAAGTTATCTTCCAAAAACCAAATCAAAACATTTGGTACATTTCTTTCCATGCTTTTCAATATACTTAAAAACAATGTATTTCTTTGGCTGCGCGGGACCTCAGCTGGGACGTGCGGGGTTTCCTCTGTGGCTCTAGCGCGCAGGCTCAGTGGGGTTCCACGGCGCGTGGCGCCTCAGTACCTGGACCAAGGATCAGACCAGCATTCCCTACCCTGGAGGGTGGATTCTCAACCACTGGACCACCAGGAGGTCCCTCAATGTGCTTTTTTATGTAATTGAGATTACATGATATAAGCAAATTTTATTCATTTTTTCCGATTTAACATTATACAATAAATATTTTCCCATGTAGTTTGAAACTAGCTGCTTAATATTCCATAGTAAGTATATTCCATAATTTATTTTGACTATTTCCTTTTTAGAGGAAGTTCAGTCTCTCAGGAAGTTCTGCAGAATTGTAGGACCTAAAACTAGAAACCCCAATGGAAAAAATTTCACTGAGACTTTCATTTTAACCTAAAACCTAAGGTTATTTACTAGTGACATATTTGAAATGTAATTGCAGGCATTTGCCGTTTTCGTTAAAACTAAAGAAGTTCCAGCACCTCCTTGTGAATGTAAAGAAAAATGGTGGAAATGCTGTCAGCAACTATTTACAGACCCGACCAGCATCCACAGACATGTGGCAACGCAACATGCTGATGAGATTTGCCATGAGACTGCTGCTGTTTTAAAGCAGCTGGCTGCGACATCGAGCACCTCCACGAGTCCCGAGTCTGCAGACAATGGGAACCCTTTCAAAGATGACCTCACCCATGACCAAGAAGTGTCTGCTTGGCTCCCGGATACAAGCTGCTTCAGCCCTGATGAGCTGATAAGGTAAGAATGTCATTCTGTACCTTTTGTTTCATTGAAACATGTTTTTCCAGTTGGAATGAGATACCACCCATCCACTAAAATGGCAGATCCTTAAGGCACGGAATTTCTCTACCGCCTAAGCTAGGCCAGTAAACATGTTCTGTGTGTAACAGAAGACCATGGCCTGGGCAGCTGGCAGTGCACTCTCGGTATCTTGGAAGCCATCCTGTGTCTTTACTTCTCCAGGGAGAGGTAAAGAACAGAAAATGTTATTTCCAAAGAAAAGTCGGAAGGCCCAGAGATGTTCATGATTCCTCTGCCCTGAAGTGTCAGCTTAGAAAGGGGTTTTTATTACCATATGTGGTTTTCTGAGCTGAATATGTTTTAAGAAAGTAAGTCAACTTTTAGAACTAAGGCATAGGGTTAGAAGTTTAGATCTGCCTTTGAAAACCTTACCGCATCATAATATTATGTAATTGTAGAGGACAGATTTCTGACTTTAAGGAATTCCTAAGCTATTCAGTGAATAGAAAAGGCCCACATTTGATACACTTTTGTCTCTGGTCTTGATGCCAGTTCCTTTTGCTTATCAGAAAGAAGAGAAAGAAAGAGAACTGAACTTGGAGTTAGACTTGAGCTAGTCACTAAATTCTTCATACCTTTATATCCTCAACTCTAAAACTGGAAATAATGCCTGCTCTGCTACCTCACAGAACTGCTCTAAGAATTATATAAAGTGATGATGGTAAGGGCTCACGTGACCTGTAAAGTGCTATACAAATGTGATCTCTTCATTTCTGTATGGAGCTGCTTTTTAGTTAGAAAAACAAAGAAAAAGGATACACAAAACATTTAGCAGATGGTATAAGACAAGCTATGCAATTATCACTTAAAATTGTGTGGCTCAGATGGTAATTTGTTACAGGAATTTAGAGAGAGGAAAACAGATACACTGATAGACAAGCAGGTGTTAGAGGAGATGAGGCCCTGAAATAAGAGAGCACTGATGAGAATGTCACAGAGTTCAGAGCTGGATGGGACCTGGATTACCATCTATGACAGCATTCTCTAAAATGTCTCTACAGCACTAGCTCTGGAGGGCACTCTCAGGTATTGAAAAGAGGTGCTAAAGACAATTAAATTGGGGAAACATGAGGTTAAAGTGTTCTTTTTTTGCAGAGCTTCCCAGAGCCTTCAGTATACGAGGGGCCTTCACTGTGACTCTCACAGAGGGAGATGCTGTCTGCATGGTTTCTCAGACGGGCGATTTCGTGGAGTAGCTACAGAGCAAGCTGTGAGAGAGGCAGTTGGTGTTGGCCCCCGGGTTTTACACTTGAGGAAATCAAGGCTCAGGGATCAGACACCCACCCAGGGCCCGTGACTAGTCAGTCAAAGTCAGCACAGTGCAGTGGGAAGAGTGTGGAGTCTCGTGTCGGAAGACTGGTGTTCCAGTCCTGACTCTCATGCCGGATGAACTGGGCTCAGACCACTGAGCTATAAAATGGGGATGATAACAACCTGTCTCATGGGCAAGAGGATTACATGAAAAAAGGAAAGTTAAACCTTTTTGTACAGAGAGATTTAAAACAGATACTGCCTTTTCTTAGAGGATAAGCCAGAATGGACTCAAATTTAAAAAGGGGTTATTAATATCTGTTTCAGGGATATGATGATTAAACAAGGAAATCAAAGTAAACTCACTTTTTAGAAAGGAAGGGGTTTGGTGCAGGTATTGTCTCCTTTAGAGCAAATACAGACCAGAGTTGCTTCTCAATCCAAGAGGAGAATGATACTTAGGAGCCAGGGCAGGCATGAGTCACTCCATTAGGCCTTCCCTCTTGACAGTCTGAATCTACTTTATGAATGTGGCCTTTTCATGTCTGACTCAATTGCTCTTTCCGCATGGTTTTCTTTTTATAGTGGCCAGGGCAATGATGAAGGGGAGGTGCTACTTTATTACTGCTACTGTGACCTGAAGGATCCCGACTGGGTCTGTGACTGGCAGACAGCTCTGTGTCAGCACCTGCATCTCATGGGCAAGGTAACACTGTCTCCCTTATCACTTATCCTTCACAGGGTTTATCTCGCCTCCTCCTTGGTTTGCTTGTTACAAAAAGGGTTCACCAGTTGGGTTCTTAGAAATTAGCGAAATCCTGCTAAGCATTTAAATAGAATACTAAATAGCTATTAACATGATGTTTTCTGTTGGTGGGAATATAAGTTGGTACAGCCACTGTGGGAAACAGTGTGGAGATTCTTCATAAAACTAAAAACAGAATTACCATATGATCTAGCAGTCCCATTCCTTAAAATAATATATATCCAGACAAAACTAATCCAAAAAGATACATGAACCCTTATATTCATAGCAGCACTATTCACAATAGCCATCAACAGACGGACGGATGAAGATGTGGTACATATACATGTACGGAGATACCACTCAGGCATTAAAAAAAGAATGAAATAATGCTATTTGCATCTACATGGATACAACTAGAAATTATTACAGTCAATGAAGTCAGACAAAGATAAGTACCGTGTGATATCACTCATATGTGGAATATAAAATATGATATAAATGGACCTCCCTATGAAACAGACACAGACTCATGGACATAGAGACCAGCGGGTGGTCGCCAGCGGGGAGAGGCTGCGGGAGGGGTGGAGTGCGAGGCTGGGGTTAGCGGACGTAAGCTGTTACACCCGGGATGGGTGAGTGACCGAGTCCTACAGTGAGGCACAGAGAGCTGCAGTCAGGATGCTGTGGTGAACCACAGTGGGAAAGAATGTTGCGTGTCTCGCGTGACTGAGTCACTCTGCTGCACGGTGGAAACTCGTGCAGCGCGGTAAATCAGCTGCACTTCAGTGAGAAGGAAAATGGTGTTTTATAGGACTATATAAAAGACAGACCAAGGATCGGCCAACTTCAGAGCCACATAGTAAATACTTTAGACTTTGCACAAAGCTACTCAACCTTGGCATTTTAATATGAAAACAGCCATAGCCAATATGTAAAAGAATGGGTATGGCCAGGGGTTTCCCTAGTGGTTCAGTAAAGAGTCTGCCTACAATGTGGGAGACCTGGGTTCCATCTCTGGATTGGGAAGATAACTGGAGAAAGGAATGGCAACCCACTCCAGTATTCTTGCCTGGAGAATCCCATGGACAGAGGAGCCTGGTGGGCTGCAGTTGTGGGGTCACGAAGAGCCGGACACGCCTGAGTGACTAAGCACAGCACGTGTCCCAGTAAAACTGCGTAAAGTGGGCACTGTGTTCTGATTCTTTGCCTGTGGCTCAGCTGGTAAAGAATCCACCTGCAATGCAGGAGACCCTGGTTCGATTCCTGGCTTGGGAAGATCCCCTAAAGAAGGGAAAGGCTACCCACTCCAGTATTCTGGCCTGGAGAATTCCATGGACTGTATAGTCCATGGGGCCTCAAGGAGTCAGACATGACTGAGCGACTTTCACTTCATTTCAACTGGAAAAATGTTTTATAGAACTGTACATACAGGTGTGATACCAAGTTGCTGCTTAATTTTCCTAGAACATGTCAGTCCTTTACCATTTTATGGTTTTATTTCCTTTCTCTCTTGAATTCAAGAGGACAAGAACTGCGTCTTAATCGATTGATGTACTGTCAGTGCTAGAACAGGGCTTTGAATATAGCAGACAGTAGATATTTGGAGAAGGTCGAATAAAAAATGAATGTTTGTAACAAAACCACAAGCATGTGTGTAAAAAGATGACAAGTAGTAAATATCAAAATGTTAAGTCATGATTATCTCTACATGATAGGATTATGAATTTTAAAAAAAATCTTTGATAATTACATATATATATATGTGTGTGTGTGTGTGTGTGTGTGTGTGTGTGTATATCCTCTGGTTAAGACACTAACCTTTCCTACACTTACCCCAGGTTTTTATTCCCTGAGGCAGTCACTCGATCAGAGATATTTTTCACACCCATGTTTTCTTGCAGATGGTGACTGAAAGCCGCATTCACCTCATCGCTTCATCACCGAGCTCTGACGTCTCTGCCTCTAACATGTCCTTTGAGCCTCCGTCTCTGCCTCAGACCTAGCCCCACCCTCTGACCTCGTTCATTCCAGTAGCTTCTAGACTGCACTCCATGCTTCCGTCTTTGCCCCCGTTTAATCATTTTCTACACAGCGACCAGAAGGGTCTTAAAGAGTGAATGAAATCCTCTCCCTCCCTCCTCATAATCTTTCAGTGTCTGTGCAGTGTATTTAGAGTGGAACCCAGATCCTTAATGTGCCGCTAAGTTTCCTGCGTCCTTTGGCCCCTCCCACCTTCTCTACTCATCTGATGCCATTCTTTTTTTTTTTTTCATTTATTTTTATTAGTTGGAGGCTAATTACTTTACATCATTGCAGTGGTTTTTGTCATACATTGAAATGAATTAGCCATGGATTTACATGTATTCCCCATCCTGGTCCCCCCTCCCACCTCCCTCTCCACCCGATCCGTCTGATCCATCTGATCCATCCGATCCATCTGCTGCCATTCTTTACTCCTTGCTGCTGCTGCTGCTGAGTCGCTGCAGTCGTGTCTGACTCTGTGCGGCCCTGTGGACAGCGGCCCACCAGGCTCCCCCCTCCCTGGGATTCTCCAGGCAAGAGTACTGGAGTGGGTTGCCATTTCCTTCTCGCCAGCAAAATAGCCTTTCAGTTTCTTGGAGCCCACAAATTTTTTTTTGGTGCCTTTGGGCCTTTTTACAAGAAAACTTTCTTCAAGGAGCTTTCCCACACCCACTCATTTCTCCTGATTGTTACTCAGTCTCCACTTCTTAGTTTTAATGACACTTTGTCAAAGACATCTTTCCAGACCTTTAATCTAAATTCAGTTTTCCAGATATACTATTTCACTGCATCTTGCAGTTATTTTTCAGAGCACTTGTCAGTTTGTGACTTTTATCTTAATATCTGTGACCTTCCTTAGTTTGTAAGTTCCCAAAGGGCAAAACTATGTATTTTTTAATCACTATGTCCGCAATTCCTGGAAGAATTTCTGGTGCATTGTTTAAAAAAAATGAACATTTGTGGCTTATATACATATATCATCATCTGTATTTAGAGAACATCTTGGAAAATGGAACGTAAACCTGAGTGCACAAAACAGGCACTCATCTCTGTAGTTTGGGGCAAGGTGAGTCGGCAGTGAGGGTCTCTACCCACAAGGTGGCAGCACGTGCCTGGCTCTCCGGTTACATCCTAAGGCTTCCGGGAAACGTGCCGAGTTCTCAAGTTTCTTGTTGGTAGGAGATTTGGAAGAATGTTGGCATTTGTGGGGAAAGGGGAGAACTTGAAAATTCTAGAATTATGGAAAGAAGCTTCTGACCCCTTGTTATATACTTCTTACTGCCTCAAGAAATTTGAGCAGATGCATTAGAGGCTTTAGAAAGGAAAATTATAAGAGATGGACCTCAAAAGACCTGGTTTTGAATCCTAGATCCACCATCTCCCAACTCTGTGCCCTTGGGTAAATTACTTGATTTCTCTAAGCTTCTGTTTCCTTTACTGTCAAGTGGGAATTATGATATCTACCTTTCAGGATTATAATATAAAGACAGGAACTTTATAATATAAAGGTGCTCATTAAATGCTAACTGTTGCTCTTCGTCTCTGAGGTATAAGGCTTTCCTCACCTAGCAGCTGCTTTGAAGGTTTCAGTTGAGGAATACTTGAACAGGAGTTGAAGGTCTAATGCATGGATTTTAGAGAGGCTGCCCATCCTCAGTATTCAGGGAGTGCACATACTTATATTTTATTTGGGTTCTGGGATTAAAATAACATAGGAAAGTGTCTTCTGGCTTACCCAAAAGACAGTTACATAGGAGCCTGTACCTCTTCATCATATTTGCCCCTGTCAGAGATGGTTTTAGGGTAGATTTCCAGTTAATGCTGGCTCAGCTCTATTTTTCTATGTTGTCCCTTAAAAAAATTAGTTGGTAATAGGTGCAGAAACCTTTACAGCAGAGATGGCATATGCTTCCTGCTTCCCTCTGTCAGCCCAGATCAGGCTCACTAGACTGCATCTCTTTCTCAAGGAGTCTGGATGTGACTTAGAATCATGCTACTCTGGAGAGCTACTGCTAGTGAGTAGGCCCAGGCTTGTGAAATGAATCCCATTTCTATCCATGCTCTAAAGAATTGAGCCAAGTGAGGCAACAAGTACCTTCTCTAGGCCCTAATCAAAGGGGAGCCTTTAAAAGTTTTCAAATTCTAAGGCACTGGTAGGTATCATTGTTATAATTGTTATATACGTAACAATGTAATAATACAGAACTTCCACTCTAAGTTACTTCTCTTTCCAGAGAATACCATGATACACAATGTTGCACTTTCTAACTTTAGAAAGGAGCTCTTCTAAAGATGATCCATCTTTAAACTTATGGGAAGGGTTTTGTGGTACCAGAACAACTAACTTTGCAGGCCCCCCAGAGCATTGCCTCCTAGGGTGGGGGCCTTAATCCAGGCTTTAATGTCCCCCAACCAGTGAAGCATTTCAAAGAAAACAGAGGGTTTGAGAAGCCAGAAAGCCTCAGGTTTGGATACTCACTCATTTGCTCAGCAAATACATATCAAATGTCTACTGTGGGCAGGTACTACTGTAGGCCATGAGTGTGCAACAAAGAATAAAACAGACGCAAGCTCCTCCCAGTAGATGGGTTTGCAGTGGTGGGCCTACCTGCCCCCCGCCCCCAAACCATGCAGTGCGCTCGCGTGCATGCCCGGCCCCAAGATGTGCTCTGTGCTTTAGGACTTGAGGAATATCTCCTCAGCAGTTTTTCATTATTGGTTCTTTTTCATCTCTTATCAAGATGAAGAAATTGAGGTTCAGAAAAGAGAATTTTCTCAGGGCCACTTGACAATTTAAGTGGCAAAGTTGAATCCTGATTCTGGATCTGCTGCCCTGAATGTAGGTTAAGCTTTGGCCACTGGACAGCTAGAACATCATAGCAAATGGGGCTTTCCATTGTTTTATCCATTTTATTCTCTGGTTCAGCAACATGTTAACTGAGCACCTCTACTGAACTGTGGGCAGTGCCATTTCAGAAAACTACAGGCATCTTTGTGTGGTAGCACTCTGGTGTGTCCACAGCGGTGTTTCTGCTTTTCCTCTTAAGTTCATCAACACACATGAACCTGTTCTGCCCTGCAGAAATCGGAACTGAGCTGCAAATACGGGCTTAGCTTCCCCGGTGGCTCAGCGGTAAATAGTCTGCCTACCAATGCAGGAGACACGGGTTTGATCCCAGGGCTGGGAAGATCCCCTGGAGGAGGGCTTGGCAACCCACTCCAGTATTCTTGCCTGGGAAATCCCATGGACGGAGAGTCTGGTGGGCCACGGGGTCACAAAGAGTCAGACACAACTTGCCAACCAGAACAAAGAGCAACGCGGACGGCTGCATTCCCTTTCTCCTGTTTTGTGTCTCAGGTTCGAATTGCTACGGAAGGAATCAACGGGACTGTTGGTGGGAGCAGACTAGCCACCAGACTCTATGTCAGCACCATGCTTTCCTGCCCACTGTTTAAGGATTACCTCTGTAAGGATGATTTTAAGGTAAGAGAGATTGAAAATAAAATGGGTTGAGAGCCATCTGCTTCTGCTTCGGTGTCTCTTCCCACTCCAGGCTATGCAGATCACCATAAAGAAGTAGCGGTACCGGACAGAAAACCACTTCCCCTCTGGGTCTTGAGGCAGCTCATGGAAAGAGTGTGCTCCTTCCAATTCATCTTCCAAGTTGCCAGAACGGGGTCACGGGCCTTTTTATATAGAATACGGACGTTACAGCTTACACCCGCTAAACTCAAACTTAGCCATGTCTGCTCCCGTGAGACACCACCTGTTTCAGGGGATCACTGCGTGTTTAATAAACCTGGTGGGATCAGACCAGCACACACTGCAGCGGGAATGTCGCTGTTGCTCTCTGAAGGAGAGGCTTTCTATTGGAGTGACTTTATGCTTTAGTGTCATGGGTTACAGAGGTGGTGGGAAGTACCTTGCTAGTGTTCGTGCTGGTGGTGATGATATGAAAAGAAAAGGTTGTGACTCCTGAACAAAAGCTTGGATGCAGTCTTACATATAGAAATTGCTCAGTGGTGTTTCAGTTTTATAGTTAAATGCTTATTGCTATAGAAACACCTTTTCAACTTGACATTTCTACACATGGTAGATACGCAATAAAGAAGTGCCAAATATAAGATTACATCTGTTGTGTAATAATAGGGTAGCTGAAGTATTAAGAAACCCCAAGTTAGGAACAGCTCTTTCAGTGGGAGAAGGGAGTTAGAGCATAGAATGTTCCAGATAATTCAACTTAATAAATATCTTATACCTGGAGATGGGAAAGAAAGACTGTATTCTGTTTTGTTTCTCATTGGCTAGACCAGCAAAGGAGGAGCTTGCTGTTTTCCAGAATTGCGTGTTGGTGTGTTTGAAGAAATTGTGCCCATGGGGATCAGTCCCAATAAGGTCTCCTATAAGAAGCCTGGTATGCTTGCTTTAAGAAGAAACTTTTTCCTTTTCTTCATAGGGACAAATCTTAATATAGAGATAAATGTGAAAGCTAGACATTCTGATCAGCAAGGGTTGTGATGAATTCCCTCCTCAGAACAGCTGTGGGGTGGCTGACACGCGGGTCATTCAATGCTCAGGCTGGCCCTTCTCTCTGGTGCTCTGGTGATTGGAGACTCACTGCTTAGAATGACCTGGCTTAGTATTCTTCTTGGTGATGGTTTGGAAAGAAGTTGTTTTCTCTTTCCAAAGATAGCAATTTGGGAAGAGTATAATTATTACTTGTAAATAGTTCATCAAATGGATAAGACATACAGACTTTTTGCTACAGGAAGCAAGCAGCTTTCAACACAAAAGCAGTTTGTTTGCAAGTGCTCTAGAATGTTCTCTTTCCCCCCTCACTCATGGGTACCATAGGTGGTTGAAAGACATTTGTTTGGCTGGGGTTTTTCTTTTTGTTTTACTTTTTACTATGAAAAAATTTCAAACATTTTAAAAAGTAGAAAAAATACTACAGTGAACGCCCATGTTCCTATCCTGTAGCTTCAACAATTACAGATTCAAGGCCAACTTTCATCAATCCCCACTCCCTTCCCCCAACCTAAATTATTTAGAAGAGAATCCTGATGTCATGTCATTTCATTCCTACTTTAGTAGATATTGCTAAAAACTAAAAGGATTTTTAAAAAATAAATAATTATAAAACCATCATATCCAAAACATTTTAATAGTAATTATTTAATATTATTGAATATCCAGCCAGGACTTAAAATTCCCAGTTATCTCATAATTTTTAAAGTTTGTTTCTATCTGGATTCAAGTAAGGTCTACTCATTGTGATTGAGCCTTTTAAGTCCCTTGTAACCTAGAGCCTCCATCTTTTATTTTCCCATGCAGTTTATTTTTTGAAGGAATTAGAAAATTTTGCTCGTAGTATTTCCCACAGTCAGGATGATGCTGATTGCATCTCCACGTACTGTTCCTCTGTCTTCTGTGTTTCCTCTGAGTTCTGGTCACACTTCTGGTGGTGCCGTCTAACAGGAATAATATGTGTGCCATGATGGGATTCTACATTTCCAGTAGCCTCATTTTAAAAAGTAAAAGGAAACAAGTGAAATTAATTTCAATAATACCCTTTAGTTAATGCAGTGTAGCCAAAACATTATTTCAACGTGTACCCAGTGTGCATACTTATTAAGAAGCTATTTTAGGGGCTTCCCTGGTGGCTCAGTGGTGAAGAATCCGCCTGCCACCGCAGGAGACACGGGTGTCCCACCTGGCGGCAGGGCAGCTGGGCCCGTGTGCCCCAAGTACTGAGCCTGTGCTCTAGGGCCAGGGGACCGCGGCTCCCGAAGCGCGCGCACCGCGACCACCGGAGCCGGCGCGCCACGGCTCCCGAGGCCCGCGCGCCACGGCTCCCGAGGCCCATGCGCCACGGCTCCTGAAGCCGGCGCGCCGCGACTCCCGAGGCCCGTGCGCCGCGGCTCCCGAGGCCGGTGCGCCGCGGCTCCCGAGGCCCGTGCGCCGCGGCTCCCGAAGCCGGTGCGCCGCGGCTCCCGAAGCCGGTGCGCCGCGGCTCCCGAGGCCCGTGCGCCGCGACTCCCGAAGCCGGCGCGCCACGACTCCCGAAGCCCATGCGCCACGACTCCCGAAGCCCATGCGCCACGACTCCCGAAGCCGGCGCGCCGCGACTCCCGAGGCCCGCGCACCGCGGCTCCCGAAGCCGGCGTGCCACGGCTCCCGAAGCCCATGCGCCGCGACTCCCGAAGCCGGCGTGTGCCACGGCTCCCGAAGCCCATGCGCCACGGCTCCTGAAGCCGGCGTGCCCTAGAGCGTGTGCTGGGCAGCGACAGAAACCACCACACGGAGCCTGCTCACCGCGACCAGAGAAACGCCCATGCAGCAACACAGACCCAGCACTGCCAAAAATAAAGAAAAATCCTAACAACAGCAAAGAGATATGTTACTTTTTTCTTGGTATACTAAGTCCTTGAAATTCTGCACGTGTTGCCCTTATCACAGCACATCGCAAACCACGTTTCCAGTGCCCGTTAGCCACATGTTGGCTAGTGGCTACCATATTAGACAGCTCACATCTAGAGACTTGATGAGATGCAGGTTTGATTTCCATTTTTCTTTTCTTTCCTTTCCCCCCCGCCGCCCAAGTCTACTTCATAGGTAGTATTGTCTTTCTTCAGGAAACAGAAAGGCCTGGCTGGCTCTATGTTCATTTTTTAATAAGTAAATATTTAAAAAGGAGGATAAGAGTTGAACCAGAGGGAAATGGGAGTAAGCTACCAGCATCTGGGGGAGGAGACCCGTGTATGAGCGCCCCCGTCTGCTCAGCGCCTTCACCTGGGCAGGAGGACCTCGCCGCGGCGGTGAGGGGAGAATGGGCTCCAGGCAGTGCTGTGCTGCCTTCGTCTGAGCTGGGTTGTTTGAAGGCACTTCTTCTAAGCAGGTCTCCGTGAGTCACAGAGGGCCCGGAAAATAGCCACAGTAACAGCAGCAGCAGGAACAGGTTGGGTTCCCTGCAGCTCCCTGTGAGGGGAAGGCTCAGCAGATTTCCATGCTTGGCATCGCAGGTTTGAACCTCCCTTTCCACCCCACTGTTTTGGTGACTGTGTAATTATGTGACAATCACACATAAAATCCGGCCTTGTTACATTCTCCCTGCAGTCCTCGGACGGGCAGGCAGGGATCTAGATTCCCTGGTTGTGCTCTGGGTCTCTAACCCCACCTGGGTACGCAGCCGCTTCAGGGGGCTGTCGGGATCAATCATGAGTGGTAACTGACGCACCAGAGGTGTGGTTGCTCCTCTGCCAGATTCACTGAAAGTTCTTCACAAGCTACTGAGATGTCTGGACCCCTAAAGGTACAGGAGTATTTCTCCCCTGGAGAGTACAGAAGACAAAAGGCCCCAGCAGACAGGTTCTTTTCTTTTAGTCTCCTTGTATTTTACTTCATCTCCTTTCTCTGCTTCTGGCCTTTCATCTTTTCTCTCTTGCTTCTTTCTCATATTTCATTCCTGCTGTCAACCCCTTTTCTCTTTTTACTCACGCACACAAACTTAAGACACATTCTTTTCTGTTACATTTTTTAAAGACTTATTCAAACTTTGTTCCATAACCACATGCTCACACCTGTCTGTCTGAGGTTCTTGACCTTGGACTTGATGTTGGTATAGAACAGTTTCTAAAGCCTATAGCAAGCGTATACATGTCCAGGCCCCTCCATATACAGGAACAACTGAACACTGGCCGTCACATGGACCAGCAAACCCATATGGCAGTTTGCAGCTCTACAGTCTGGCTTTTATCATTGGGTGAGGCCAAGTATGAGGATGCAGATTCTTTGACTAATTAGCTCTAAACTGCCAGGTCTCTACAGCGCTCATCTTAGGAGGGAGAGTGAGGACATGGAATTAGCTAAATTCTGTCATTATGCTGATCAGATAGCATTATTTTCAGTCATAATTATAATTATGAAGAGGAAACGTTTAGGTGGGGAGGAACAAATGGAAATCATTGGGCTGGGCCCTGTGTGATTTGGTTTTGTTTTTAACCAATTTCTTGTTTGGTTTTAGGAATCCATTTATCCCCAGGTGAATTTCATAAAGAAGTAGAAAAGTTTCTGTCTCAGGCAAATCAAGAGGAAAGTGATACTATCCTATTGGACTGCAGAAACTTCTATGAAAGCAAAATAGTAAGTAAGAAAACCACAACTGAGTCCCCGCAGCACAGCCTGTGTCTGAAGGGGATGCTGTGCCCACCTGTGGCCCAGTCAGTGGCTCTCCTCCCGCTGCTAGCAGGGAAAACCCAAGCCTTGGAACTCAGAATCTGGTGAGAAAGGCTACGAAAATACGGATTAAAGACACCTTGCACAAGATAAACTGTCTCCCATATGCCTACCCCTAGACACATGTCAGGATCTTGTGAAGTTTACCTTGGGCAACCTCTCCCAGTTCCCCAGGGCCTCTGAATGGGTAACCACAGCCCAACCAGCCTTGTTTCTAAGTTTTAGCTCTTGAAGTTTGAAAGCTCAGAGTATGGGATGAAAATGGCAGCAAGCGAGTGCTTCCTTGCCAAGGCAGGGCTGGGGAGTGGTGTTTGACACAGAAAGAATCTTTGTTCTTACCAGGTACGTTTTTCTGATAATTTTATTTCTGCTGCTTCTATATTGTAGGGACGATTCCAGGGCTGCTTAGCCCCAGACATCAGGAAATTCAGTTATTTCCCTAGCTATGTTGATGAAAATCTAGAACTTTTCAAAGAGAAGAGGGTGCTAATGTATTGCACTGGGGGCATCCGTTGTGAGCGGGGTTCAGCCTACCTGAAAACCAAGGTGAGTTACCAACCTCAGGGCACTGCAGGCCTGGAGGCGAAGGAAGCTCCCACCCCCAGCCAGCAGGATTTATTGTCCCCTTGTATGGTTCCAGCATAGAGTTTCTAAGTATAAAGTCTGAAGTTCTTAAATCTCAAGATGTGAAAAGCACTCATCAGTCTTAGAGACGAATCAAGTACAAAAGGGAAAGATTAGTTGGCATCTCCCTTTTCCTAATCCTTTTGCTTGATCCGGAGAAGAGCAAATTCAGTAACATTACATGTCCCAACAGGTGTCTGCCTATATTTAGGGAGCCACAAAAATAATTGGGCTTCCCAGGATCTAGAGTGTGAAGGCCCTGACTGCTGTCCTCAGCCATCCCCCTGGCAGGCAAGGTCTGGCCAGCTGGTTCCTCGCCCCCCCTTGGTCAGCAGTTCTGCAATGTCCCACGAGGGGAACCAGGAGCCCCATTTTGGCATTCCTACCACATGTTGCTTCTCTGCAGAGCTTCCTATTGGTCTCTGCTAGTCTCCTCAGATTTCCTCTTGTGTTTCCACACACAGGGAGTGTGCAAGGAAGTGTTCCAGCTCAAGGGTGGCATCCACAAGTACTTGGAGGAGTTTCCTGATGGTTTTTACAAAGGGAAGTTGTTTGTTTTCGATGAGCGTTATGCCTTGTCTTTCAACAATGACATAGTGTCAGGTAGGTCAGCACTGGCTCAGAACCGGAGCTCCTGAGCAGGCACACCCTCTGTATTAGCCTTCTGGAAGGCAGGCCAGTGCTGATTACTTGACGAATAAAGCAAGGGAAAAGGATTGTACAGCACCACCGTTTCCCACTAGAGCCGGGGATGCAGTGGTGGAGCAGACAGAACCCTGACTGTTAGGAGGCCTGGGTTGGGATCTGACTCTACTGTTTACTAGTTAGACAAGTCCTTTAAAATGGGAATAACCTCACTCACTCTGTCCACCTGCTAAGAGTTGAACTAATAGGCTAAATCTAGGGTCTTAACCTGGAGTCGGTAATATTGTACTAAGGGGGCCTGTGAATCTGGACTGGAAAATAATTTCATGTTTGGTTTCACAACCGCTAACTAAATATAGCACTTCAATTATGAATATAAGAAGCAAATCAGGTGTATTGGATGTACTTGTGACTTTGTCATCAGTAGAAATCACAGTATTTCCATTATTACAGCTGCTGTGAATATTTCAAGAGCATTTATGTGCATCATTGATTCAAAATGGAAAGTTATTAGGCCCATCACTAAATCTTATTTTCTGTGTTAAATACCATACTGTATCCCAGACTTTAAAGAATATTGTTATTTTGTATTTCTGTATAGTTGGTTTCCTTTGTGATACTATGTATTTTATTTTCTACATTTTAAAAACATTTTTCCAAGAATAGTCTTCACTAGACTGTAAAGTAAATCATGGGACAAATAAAAGAACCCTTAGTTAGATGGTGTGTGGACACATGTGTTCTGCATGTTTAGAGTGGTGGGTGGGGCATTCCAGGGTGAGAGCTGAGCCCAGGACCAGAGGCAGAGTGGCTACAGGAAGCCTGTGGTGAGACTGTAGTTTGGAGTCCACAATAACATGTGGTACCAGATGAGAGCAGTCAGGAGGAGGAGGATGAAATTAATCTTTAAGAAAATGGATCTGCCTTCTGGATGCCACTGTTTTGAATGGGAAAGGTCATAAGCAGACAACCCTACTGTCAGAATTTTTTAGAACTTCTTTGACCAGGGACTAAGATTGAATTAACACCTGAGTAATAAGTAAGATGGGAGTTTGATTTCCTCTCCCCTTTCTTCTTAATCTTTTTATTCATTTTAATTGTCTTATTTTGTCTCTCTTATTGGAAGCAACTTCAGATCTCTAATGACGCTAGAGGGAGAAGAAAGGAGGGAGAGAGGGCCCAAAGGTAGCCTAGATAAGCTGGGTAAGGAGACTTGAAGAATGATGTTATCAGTGGTCATAGGAAGTCAGCAGGGAAAGGGGCTGAGAAAGTAGATCCATGAGCTTTAGGACTTGTGTGGCGGAGTGTACCCTGGCGAGATGGGTGTGGACTGCACAATTTCCACGTGCGGTCACCTATATTCAGGCGAGGCGTGTCTCAGGGCAGAAGGGAATGGTGTCAAGGAAAAAGGCCAACAAAGGGTGTTGGCCAGCTTGGGGAACAGAAAAAAATTACTACCTGTTTTCTAAATGGGGAAAAGAAAAATGGTCCATGAATGCTAGAATCAAAAGACAATTCCCAGAAGCAGCCTAACCCAAAAAAGTGGGGATGGATGGGGGAACCTTGCTGGTTAGAAGACAAGAGGTTTACACTGTGTAGAAACCTTCCCCAGGCCTGAAAGGATACGTTACATGCTGATGAGCACAGGGCTAGGTTTGGGACCTGGAGCAGTGTGCCTGTCTGCGTGGTGTGTGCACACACGTGTGTGCCTGTCTGCGTGGTGTGTGCACACACACGTGTGCTTGTGTTTATAACGAGGCTTTGCTTTCTCCCCAGCATGTTCCTACTGTGGGGTTCCCTGGGATGACTACAAGCTCTGCTCCACGCCCCAGTGCCGCCAGCTCGTCCTGACCTGCCCTGCCTGCCAAGAACGAGGACGCACAGCCTGCTGTGTCACGTGTCAAGACAAGGGGAACAGACAGGCTGCAAGCCCAGCCCAGAGCAACTTTAAAGAGGAATGCGAGTGTACCGCCCGACGGCCACGGGTACCAAGGGAGCGCTCACAGCGGGGGCCTCTCGCAGCAGGAGCCTCTTCCCTCCAGCCCGGGGCCTAGGCTGGATGTTGATGGGAGCAGCCCCATCTGTATCCCCCAGGCCCTCACACAGCTAGGTTTGGAGGATGTCAGGGCTGCGCTAACAGAAACAGGGAAGGTCAGGGCCGCCAGAGCCGCCGTGGTCAGCTGGCCACCATGTTGGCCCCTGTCCTCCATGAGAGAAGGGAAGAGGAATTTGGGTGCTGACCTCTTACCAGAGACATTCTGGCTCAGAAGTGCTAGAGCACAGAAAAAGGTGAGCTTCATGGGATCCCAAAGTTCCTAAGGGAGAGAGCCTTGAACCTGGTGACCCGACCTGCCCCTTCTGCACCGTGCAGCAGGGCTGGCGGTAGTCATTTTTCTTACCAGCAAACCTGTCTGTCCTGATGGCAGAAATGAAAGCCGGGTGGCCCGAGAAGTGGGCTTCTCAGCACTGGCCCTCTTAGGTCAGTCCACCATCCACCCCTGCGCTCCTCTTCTCCCTGTTAGCCTCAGCACTGCGCCAGGACCTGCCAGCTACAGCACGTGGCCCGCCTCTTTCTGTAAGTAAAGTCTTATTGGACTAGCCACAGCCATTCACTTACATATGACCTTTGACAGAAATAAGCATTTACAAGAAAGACATTATGGCCTGCAAAGCCTACAGTATTTACAGGTGTACCTCGGAGATACAGATTCAGTTCCAAACCACCACATCAAAATGAGTTACCCGAACTTTTTAGTTTCTCAGTGTATATAAAAGGTATGCTTACATTATGCTGTAGATATTAAGTGTACAATAGCATTGTGTCTAAAGAAACAATGTATATCACCTAATTAGAATTTTTTATTGCTAAAAAATGCTATCATCTGACAATGTGGGGTTGTCACAAACCTATTTGTAAAAACCGAAATATCTGTGAAGCACAGTAAAGCAAGGTATGCCTGAACTATCGGGCCCTTTACAGGAGAAAAAAAAAAAAAGAAAACCTGGCGACCTCTAGTCTAGATGAACAGCTCATCTGGTGGAGGAGATAGTCTTAAAGATGTGGCCATCTTCATTTTTTATGGGTTTGTTTTCTGAGAGATTTCCCTGTAATAGTTTCTGCTTCCCTCAACACCCACACTACTAGCTCTTAAGCGTCTTTGAGACCACATTATGAGCTCGATGACACGGACATCTGGGCTGTAGTTTTTAGGCAAACACCTCAGAACAAAGACATCCTGCGTGAGGCTGCTGAGCACTGCTGTGGCGGCTTCCCAGCCTCTGGCCCACACGTCCCAAGAAACACATGCACAGCCATCCATAGACCAACAGATTTAATGTTATGTTGCAGTTTCCAGTGATGCGGAATACAGCTGCAGTTGTGTTTCAAGGAGAAGCCGAGCCGGGCTGGCTGTGCCTGCAGCACAGAGCCAGCCCTGGGCCCGTCTGCAGCCTCAGTAGACGCCCCTCCGTGGAGGGGAGGCCCTGGCTCCGTCTCTGGTTGCCCTGTCCTGTCCACATCGTTACAGTTCGTGTGCGAGACTTTTTCCATCAAAAGCCTCCGCTCCGTGCTCCGCAGCTTAAGTCTGTGTTCGTCTGCTCTTTGGCCTCTCCTTTGTCGTAAGGTTTGCTGAATCACTCATGAAAATAACTTCCCAAGCAACAGAAATACTAGCTTAACTGGCACTGTGGCATAGTAAAAGGCACAAGGGCAGTGTGGCTTAACATTCTTGCTGGATCCCAGGAGATGCATGTGATGTTAAAAAGGGATCTGGCAGAGATGCCAAAATTACATTTTCAGAATGCACCATCCTGGGTGGTTTGGCCAGGTTTCCTAATTCTTAAATATCTAGATTTTCTTCACCATTGCCCTTTAGAGGTTTCATTTACAGGCGAGATCAGTGGTGACTTGTCTAATAAGTGATGTGACGGGATGGCTGAAGTCTGTAAGCATAAGCCATGATGGACTGGAAATTCATCTCGATAATGATTTACCTCATAAGGCACTGGCCCACTACTGACTGTGCAATTATGAGTGTTTTCAAGTATTTGGCCATAGGTTTTCATATCCATTGTAAGGTTGGCATTTGGTAAGGAAACAATTCTTTCTGACTCCAGTATTGTAAATAAATCCCAGATGTTGATAAAGAACACCCAGCAAAATGCTTGTTGCCTGGAATTAGTTTTTGTTTTTTTAAAAAAGGATGGTTTTAAAATTCGAATTTTCATTACTGGCTTTTTCTATCATTTCCTGGTAACCAGCAACAGGATCATTCTTTGATTGCTGGCAGAGCTCTGTGGGCTTGTCTTTCTTGAGGTAAAAACAACAACAACAACAAAAAAAAACCTGTTTTTGACCCAGAAATCAATTTAGCAACTTTAATCTTGAGGTTCTTAAAATTTAAAGGAGAATTAATAAAGAATGATGACCTGTTTGTTAAAGAGCTAAGATCAAATTTGTAACAATTGTAATGCTTTTCAACCATGTGGAAGAGGGTGCTGTTTGTTCGTGTTACACATTTAAAATATACCTGAAACACCACACTCCTAGGTCACTGAGACTGGACTTCCGGGGCTAAGTCACTGCTGCTCTAACATCGTCTTCAGTAAGATCTGCCGGTTCAGGGGCCTCTTAGTTTTTAAATAATAAACAGACTGAATTTCTGTGACTAAAGAAAAACTTCACATTAACCATGGTTTATAAAGTTTTCAGCTACAACCACTAGCTAACCTAAAACCTTAGTGCATGAAGAACTGAACCACAGCAGGGTCTGCGCTGCGCTCTGCCTCCGGTTCCCACCGCAGAGCACGGCCTATCAGCAGAACACGTCCAGTTCAAAGGCGTGGTCGGCGCCCGCACACGCTAGACGCCACTCCGGCACTTGGGGATGATGGGCCCGGTCAGGTCTGCCAGCCGCCTCTTCCTCACTGGAAAGGAATGGACATGAGACGTGAGCAGCTGTCCCTGGGTCCCAGAGCCACCACGGTGGCTCGGAGAGCGCTGGGAAGCTTCCTGACAGCTTTGCTGAGCGCGCTCTGAAGTCTGTTGTTTTTAAAGGACAGCGTGAGTCTTCACTGCCAGGAGGGCCTGAGGCGGCGTAGGTTCGCTCTTAAAGCGCTTGTGGAGCGCTGGCCACACGGGTGTAAAACCCGCTTTATCCAACTCTGCCTTTGTGTACAGAGGCCCCGCGGCTGGCGATCCTTACTCCAGGTCAGACAGGGGTTAAGTTCAGTCCATCTTAGTGAAATCTTAACCTGCTGGTAAGGTTTCCCTCGGCCTTTCCTCCGGGTCCCTGGCCTGCCTGTGTAGACAACAGCATCTGCCCTGAAGATTACTCTGCATTATCTGTACCCCCTTACGGTTAACCTTGACATTTTCCCAGAGGCAAGGCAATATCAAGTCCAAACACTGTTCACATAGCAAGGGAGTTAAAATGTCGCAAAGAGGAAAGCATTAGCCAGGGGACTGCAGGCGGGGGCATTAGCTTACGAGATGGCGGCGATGGTGGGGGGGAGGGGGAAGGATCCCCTTTGTTGTGATAAGGGAGAGTGTTTGAAACAAAACAGTGTCTGCAGATGAAAACAAAGCAGCAGGCCACATCGGCTACCAGAGAAAAGCAGGCTGCAAAGCCAGTGGGCGGCCGTCCAAGGGGGCTGCAGGTGTGGCGGAGACGGGATGCTGCTGTGAGAGGGGAAGTTCCTCTGTACTTAGACACCTTCCCGTTCCCGAGCTAGACAAGGGAAGATGTGTGACTCCGGGTGCGGCTAGGAGCCGGCGGGAGAGGCCTGGGCGCGCAGTTCGCCCTTCTGGGGCCTGGGGTTCAGCCTCTGCCTGGGCCGCTCCTCTCCCCTGCACCTCCCTGGAAAAAGCCATGAACGCCAATCAGCGGGCCATCTCCCGGAGAGAAGACAGTGTGTCTGGCCAGATTCCTGGGGACCATCAGAATGTGTAACAGCTTGGGGGGAGACGTGGGGGGAACCACCACCAAAGCCCAAAGAGCACAAGAGGTTTGCCCAGAGTGATGAGAGGGTTTACACAAACCAGGCTTGGCAGCATCTCCATGTTAGTTGTGTAAGCATTACACCCCATTTGCACTCAAGCCTCACTGGAGCCCCTCCAACAACTGCAGGGCATCAGTGTGGTCACCACTGCTGTCTCATGGGTGAGGGAAGCGTGGCAGGGAGCAAAACAACAGAGCCGGCACCAGACAGAGCCGAGGCCGTGACTCTTCTCGAGCCTCAGCCCAGCGCCTCCCTCGGCACATCAGGCCCTGTCTATGCAGGCTGTCCACATACACGTCTCATCTGGGGCTCACAAAAGGGGACAGCTCCTTTCCCCTGGAGAAGAGAAGGGAGCCAGGGCTGGAACCTGAGGCCCCAGTCCGTGGCTTGAGATAAGAAAGGAACCCCGTGGTGTCTCCCCTGACATGCCCTCAGTAAACATGCACAGGGTTCCCCAGGCACTGGCTTCTACAGGAACTGGATGGGGAGAAAAGAAAGACACCACTTCGGCATTATTTCCCCCCATTTTAATAATGAAGAAAATTGAGGCCAAGAGAGGAAAAGTATCTTGCCTCAAGTCACAGTGAATAAGAGACACAACGGGGAGCAGAAGCCAGGCCTTCCAGGTTCCTTCAAATCAACCTGCTTTTCACATCCATTAAAGCAAACTCCTCTGTGTTGCTTATCATTACAACTGCCAGAGACTTTCACTCTCAGAGCCTTCCAGCATCTGAAGTCATCTGGACCAATCCCCATCAGCATCTTACACTCCCTCCACCACTTCCTGCCAAGCTTTATACCTCCATCATGCCTCTGTGGCGCATCTTATGTACATTTATAAGCAGCAGCATTGACTGAGTGCTGTGATGTGCCAAGCACAAGGATCAGAAATAAAGATCAACAGATAAAGATACACCTACAAGGTATATACCTATACCTATAATAAAGATAAACCTACAAGAAATGAGGTAAAATATCACAAGTATGCTGGTAGATCTCGTTCCGTATGAGAGGCCCAGTGAACAGAGCGGTCAGATCTTCCAAGGATGGTGGGCGAGTTCTCCACTGAGTCTTAAACAGTAAAGGGGAACTGTCTTAGCCCGGAGGCTGCCATTCAGATTTCGTCCACGGGCCAGAGCGCCGCTGGCAGTTACAGGACCCTGAGCAGCAGGCTGGCTGTCAGTGGTAATGGTGCGGAGACAGGAGTCATCTGAGCCACCACCTTGGGAAAGCAGAGATGGGGACCCTCGGCTCCTTCCTGACACCTTGCTCTCTCCCGTGGAACACTGCTAAGAGCCCAGGCGGGAAGGACCAAAGACGCGCCAGTCAGGATGGGTCCTGGGCAGGCTGCCTGTCTGCAGAGCCACTGGCTGACCCACGGCCTTGGGGACCCGTGGAGGAGCCCACCTGCCTTGCAGGCAAGCAACGCCACGGTCCCGCAGACCTGGCCCGTGGCCAGGAGCCAGCTCAGAGGCTGGTCGGAGTGAGAAGGAAGCCGGAGAGGCCTGTTCCCTTCCATCTAGAGCTTGCCCCTGCTGCTGGGCTGCAGCAGCGGACGAGTCGCAACCGCCGGGGCTGGGTGCTAATGACAGACGGGTTCAGCTGGGAAATGCGGAAGCTTGTCGGCTTCATCAGAGCGCCAGGAGCAGGATGAAAAAGCCACGGTGGAAAGAAAGCCAGAATTTCTTTGAGAGGAGGACACTGATGCACCATCAGGATTGGAAGCGTTTCTTTCATAAAAAGTTAGCAGACAGGCACAATTTGCTTTTAAAGCTAAAAATCCTACTTCACCAACTGGTACTCTGTTGTGGGCAGTCACTTAGATCATTCTGCTCTAATTCCTTCTGTGGGAAAACCCAAGGCAACTGCCGCACAGGTCCGGGGGGACCCATTTTAATACCCGTTCACTCCCGCCTAGGAAACCGCCACTGTCCCGCGACCCGCAGGCTTTCCTCACCAAAGTCCTGAGCTCAGCATGAAAGGCCTGTGGCTCTCAGCCTCCCCCGCCCCCTCAGCCCCATTCCCACGAGCACCCCAAGTGCCTGGCCATCGCCCTTGCCCACGCTGCTCCTTCTGCTTGGAATGCCCTTCCCTCCCTTCTCGGAGGGCTCCTGCTTCTCCTACCAGGTGAACTCCCTGTATCAGTTCCTCCTTCCTTTCAGAACTTCCTGTCTCTCCTATCCTGCATGCTGGGTCCTATCACCCTGCCTTTGCCTTCACCAGCAACACCACCAGGAACTCCTGCCAACCCCCGCACAACCTCTCTCTGCTTCACGAGGCTGACTCAGGCCCAGCCCCACCAGGAGGCATGGCTTAGCTGGCCTCTGTCCTCACAAATTATCTGCTTGTTTTGTCTGCATACGGTTTGTAGGCCTTCCTGAATCTAGGGGTCTGACTTTGAGTCTTTTTCTCTCCTAAGAGGTTGTAAAGGTTTCTGAGTCAGGGAGGGCATTGGCTTTCTGCTACCGCTTATGTCGCCTTGCACAGCCCTGGGCACACAAAAGGTGCTCACAGATTGCTCACTGTAACTAAGGTGTGACACTGGAACTAACAAAGATGTGACGTGACCGAGCCACTGCCTCGAAGTGCAGTCCCTCCCAGGCCTCAGTTCCTCCCGAAGAGAACGGGAGGAGGAGCGTGAAGTCCTGTCCACAAAGGCACGCGAGGCTCCTGCCATGACCGCACCAAGTCCCTGGTGATAGGACTTGGGCCTGGATTTCGGAACACAGACTCTCAGGACATAGTGTCCTCAAGGGCCATTTCCTCTAGCCTCCAGCTGATACCGGAGTCCCCCCTACAGCACTCCTGACTCATCTGGAAACGTCTAACCCTAGAAAGAAGTCCTCCAAGCCATCTTGCCACTGGAAGACCAAAGCTCAATCAGCCCTGAGACAGGGACCGAGGGACACATAAGAGGTTAAATCTGAGATTAAAAAAAAAAAAAAGGTGAGGTTACTGCATATCAGAATAGATCTCAAGGCTTTTTAGTGCTGGTTCTGCAGCCAGATCACAACTGAGCCAACAGAGTCCGGGTTGTGAGCCGTCCTCAACAATTCAGTGTAGCTATCACTGAGGAGGGGGCGACAGAGGAGGAGACAGCTGGATCAACTCCACGGACATGAGTTTGAGCAAACTCCAGGAGACAGTGAAGGACATGGAAGCCTGGCCTGCTGCAGTCCATGGGGTCGCAAAGGGTCAGACACAACTGAGTGATTTGCCAACAGTGA